AGCGAGGATGGCCTTTGATATGCATTCCTTTCATAATCTCATAGTGGCTTCGGGCTAAGAGCCACATGAGCTCAGGCTTGATGCTTGACCCTGGCTGAGGTTTTTCGGGGCTTGGTGTGTCGGCATGGCTTCTCATTAAAAAGCTAGTCTTACATCCCCAGATTAATAATCACAATGCCTTCTAATGTCAGCCACCTCTCTTATTGGAACCTCTTCATCTTTTCCTCTTCCAAAGCAGGAAGTCTGAGTAGTCAGCCATTCAGCAGAAAAGGGAACATTCCCTCACCAAAAAAACACCCCAGAAGCTTCCAGAGGAAACCATGGTAGCTGGTTATCTGATGACGGCCAGGCTTAGCTCGCTGTCTGGGATGTGAGGATTGGAAGAGCACTAATGAAGGCTTGTTGTTGGAGCAGGATTAGCAGTGACAGGCAGCGGAGGTCGAGAGTGACTGGGAGAGGAACGAGTGTTTTAGTAGGAAGGAGAGACCACTGATTAGCCCGAAAGAGATGTACACACACACACAAGCACACGCATGAATGCAGTGAATGTCGAGATAAAGTTCTTAACTGCGGGCTGAGTGAACTGCCAGTAGCTCTTTCATCTCGCTGTGCAACTATTGCATTCCCAGCCAAAAGAATATTGTTCCAAGTTAGAAAGAAAACATTATTCCAGGTTTGTAGACAATTTATTTATACAATATAGAAAACGATTGTTGCATTACACATTAGATGCTTTTGGGTGTGCGTGCGTGCATGTGTGGAAGCTTTCTCCTACTTCTCATAAACTCTGATTCTTCCCAGCTGTTTTAAAGAAACACACAGCGGCCGCAAATGTTCCTGCGAGCCAACTTCCTGGGTTTGTTTGTTATTTTCTGTCATTCTAAATTTACCCCACTCTTTGGCATGATGTATTTTCCCATCGCCTCCCGCTGTACATGTAACTAATCTACTTTGTGACATATTTTGGCAAAGGAGTAGAGGTGATAAGAGAAGTAGATCCCTCGACGCATCAATCACTATTACATTCCTGTGGCGCAACGCAATCTCTCTGCTCTCATCTCTCCGCCTCTGACTTCCCCCTAAAACTTGTGTGCTTTTAAAACCTAAAAGGTCGTTCTGGAAACGCAGGTTGCTTCCTCGTGCAACAGGCGTTCCTGCGCTTCTAAACAAGCGACTCCCTCATGAGCGGTGCTGGCTGCTCTGTGAGCCAAGCCGGGGTGTAAGTGCGTGGCGGCTCGCCCAGACAGTGAAGTCCATGTATGGAGCATGTGGTGAGGCTCTCTGCAGTCTGTCCCTACATCTGCCCCTGTACTTGTGCACACAAGCAACCAAATGGCGGAACAAGAGGATGTGTTTGTGTTGCACATGTTCGTAACAGAAATGCATGCACAAAAAAACACACAAGCTCACAAGAGCCCACATACCCCACGTTTACAGGGCCGTGTGCTTTAGCCCTTCCCCTCCCTTTAGTCATTGTGAAC